TCAAACATCAGGGAACTCCCTAGACCAAAAGGAATGGGACCTCTTGGGAGAGGCTTACCCATCAACAGGAGTCTAAGATAGGAGATAGTCTAAGATAGGTTCAAAGATAAGAGGCCAAACCAAAAGCAAAGAAAGGTACTGGGATGGCGAGGAAGACTACTCTTGCTGACAGCAGTTTCAGTTTCTTAGGATCCAGATTGAGTTTTTATTACTTTTCAGGTCTGCTTAGAATACACAGGCAATCAAGAGCATTCTGCTGCAAATTTAGGAAAAGCAACACTTTTCCTAGGAGAGGGAGGGGTAGAGAAAAGGAAATTATTTAAGGGACATAAGGGGGACTTCAGTGGGGGAAAGTATTTGCCAAGCAGCTAACAGTTATCAGAATAAGACATTCCCCATTCAAAGACAAGAGACAAGGAGAGGTGACTAAATAATTTTACAATTTTGAAAGAAGACCTTTTAGATAAAACTGCAGGATTGAAGTAACAAATCTGGCAAGACTGCAAGGGTCTCTTATGTAAAGTCAATAAACAGTTGTTACAACAGTGGATGAGACCATGTACTTTGACACGTCCTTACATAGTCTATTATATTTTATTTCTTCTTTAATAGTAGTCCAGGAATTTCCACTATTCAGCCACCAGGTGGCCAGGTGATTTCCACATTTCTACATTGCCCATCAAGAGGGCAGCTAGGTACGGCAGTGGATAGAGTGCCACTCCTGGAGTCAGGAAAACTCATCTTCCTAAGTTCAAATCTGGCCTCAGATACTTACTAGCTAGGGATGCTAAGTGGCAGTCGTGTCATAAGGAGGCTCTAAAGTCAAGTCCTCTGACTCCAAAACCAGGGCTCTTTCCACCATACCAAACTGCCCCCTGTAAGTTAGAAATACAAAATACTAAGTTTCTTCACAAAAAGTGCTCCCTTAAAGATGAAGAGGGAAAAATTTTGAAGAGAGGATAAAAGTTTAAGGAATCAAATTCCCCCAGCTTTCAAATGGATAGAAGCACAAAAGATGGTGGAAAGAGCAAGACACGTGGCATTGGAAGACCTGTATTTGAGTTCTATCTCTGCTACTTATTGGCAATATGAGCTTGGATATTTCACTTAATCACTCTATGCCTTAGCTTTCCTAACTGAAATAATTAGAATAATATTTGTGCTGTCTGTGAGGTCATGACCTTATTGTGAGTGTCAAATGATATAATATATGTGAAAAAAACACTTTGAAAATACAAATGCACCAAATAAACATGTTATTAGTAAGCCAAGCTAATATCTACACAGCTGTGTCCTAGAACCAGTAGTGAGAATGAACCCACTGGAGATTTAGGGGGGTCAGGTTCTTCAATATATGATTATAATTAGTCCCCTAAATTTTGTATCCTAATGGATTCCCTTAAAGTTTGAGGTAATTTTTTTTGCTCAGAATTGTGCTGCTTTCAGATATCCCAGAAATGTTTGAATGAAAATATAGTAGCAGCATAAAAGGAATTTACAGCAAAACCCTTAACAGCTTGTCCGAAAGCCTTCAACATGTCAGCAGAGGGCTAAAGGGAGCGTTGGCCTACTGAACCAAAACTAGGAACTCATGTGTTCTTGAAATTTCCCTGAAACATTTTGTGCCCTATTTAATTCAACTATGTAGAACTTAGAATTAAAAATCTTGGTTTGAAATTCCAACTCTGTTGCTTACCAGCTATGTGTTTGGCTTTGGACAAGGTAGTATGGTAAAGTAAGCAATAAGAATACTGGATTTGGAGTCAGAGGACCTGGGTTCAAATTCTTGCCTTGTTTGACCTTAGACAAGTCATTTGACTTTTCTAGGCCTCAGTTTTTTCATCTGTAGCATGGAGATAATGTTTATACTACCTATTTAGGTCCTAAAGAATTTAGCTAAAGGGTCACACTAACAATTTATTATTTAAGCATCAATATATTACTTAGACAATATGGCATTTAATCTGTATTCTGGTAATATGAGTAATTCACCTTTACACGTAGCCCTTCATAGCCCTTTAAGATTTCAAAACTGCTTTCCTCATAGCAGTCCTTGATGCAAGTATTGTTGTTCTCATTTTACAGATGGGAAACTGAGATTTACATAGATAGTAAACATAAAAACAAAGACTCTCTGAGCTCTAGGTCCAGTGCTCTTTCCACAGGACCACACTACCTTCCAGACATCTCAATGGTTTTCCTTCCCATAAGTTATGGAGCCAAAATCACAGCACCATTTGGGGTAACTTGTCATTATAAAATAAATGAAGGTCACTTTTTGCAGACTACCCACATTGATGCACACCTTCCCCTATACTGTCATCTATTTCAGGTGTCCTATCATCCTATGGTGTTCTCACATAGGTTTGTCTCCTCTTTCATAGTGTCTCCCAACACCCGGAAAATGTTATACCATACTCATCTAACTATGCAATTTCCCATGGCACTGTAGAAGCGATGGCAAGTCCAGGGGTATATTTTTAGTTTGGAGTTAGACCTGTAGGTAGAACTCTGATTTCATTTGTGGTAAGAATTCCCAATGAGAAAACTCCCTCTACCAATGGAGATTAGCTATCTGTTCTGTAATTTCTATAATTGCTTGAGGCCTTGAGAGATTTAGTAACTTGCTCTGAATCACACAGTTAATATAGGTTCAAAGGCAGGGCATGAACTTCGTTCTTCCTGAATGTGAAAGTTGCTCACTTTATCCATTCTGACACAGTGCTTCTCCAGAAGGGAAGTTTTTAAAGGAAGTATGATGTCAGGGAAAGAATGCTGGATTTGGACTCAAAAAAATATATACTCCTTGAGGGCAGGGATCATGTCCTAGCTAAACCCTGTCCAAATCCATGTTTGTTGTTAATACTAGTAGTATGACCATGGGCAAGGTAATTCACCTCTCTGAGCCTGTCTCTCCATTTTCAAAATGAGGATAATAATGACTGCACTGTGTGGTACCTCTAAAAATGTGAGTTATTTCAATCATTATCTCTGCCCTATGTCCCATAACTTTGAGGGTAAAAAAACAGTTGATCGATAATATAGTCTTTTACAAGGTATTAATGTGAACTTTGCAGTGACCTTCTTGAGTCAGATTTTGAAGTCTCGCCTAACTTGGCTAAAGCATTGGACTGAAGGTACTAATATCAAGCCAGATAGACAGGGAGGGATCTGGGGAAGAGACCTGGCATGCTTTTTCAGCAGCCTTCAAACCACATTGAATATACAACTCCATGCATAACCATTTATGCATGGAAGATCTCCTCTACTGTCAAGAGTCTTATCTGATCCTAAAGGTACTACAGGAAGGAAGGAAGGAAATGATCATTTATTATGTGCCTACCATGTGCCAGCTGTGATGTGGGCAGCTCTGTGATAAAGTGGATAGAGTGCTAGGTCTGAAATCAGGAAGACTCATCTTCCTAAGTTCAAATATGGCCTCAGACACTTACTAGCTGTGTGGTCCTAGGCATGTCATTTAACCCTGTTTGCCTCAGTTTCCTTATGTATAAAATGAGCTGGAGAAGAAAATGGGAAACCACTCCAGTATGTTTGCCAAGAAAACCCTAAATGGGGTCATGGAGAGTTGGGTAGAACTAAAAATGACTCAACAACAACAAACAGCAACTGCATGTCAGGCACTGTGCTAAGCACTTTACAAATCACATATTTGATCCTCCCAGAAACACTGGGAAGTGGATGCTATTATCCCCATTTTCCCATTAAGGAAACTAAGGCAAAAAGAGGTTGAGTAACTTGCCCAGGGTCCCAGAGCTAGTAAGTGTTTGAGGTCGGATTTAAATTCAGTTCTTCCTGACAACAGGCTCAGAACTCTATCCACTTAACTAACTAAGTCCCTCTAGCACCCAAGGATTGTTGCCACCAGTCTAGACTGTGCCTAAGATGCAAGTTCTAGTTTGAAGCTAACATAGGAGGTTCTTCCGACCCAACTTTGGAGAGTGTTCATTTTCAGGACCCCTGGAATTTCTTATCAGATTGTGGGGTAAACATCCCAGATGGAGGCAGGAACCCCAGAACTCATTTGAGCAGATTAAAATCACTAACAGCCAGTAGAACTAACAATCATTTGATAGGTGTTCTGAGTCTCCTGATACAAATAGGCAGCACTAATCTTCCTAGGCAAAGGAGCTGCTGGATTTATCTCAGTCCAGACCATCCTGCGAAAACCCAGGAACAGAGTCTTAACTGTAGGAATCCAAAGGTCTACTGTGTAGCTCCTAATCACAGAGCAATAGGACTTACATTTGGAAAGGACATTGGAGATTATTCCAATTGTTACCAACCAAAGGACAAGCAAACATGTTAAGGATTCAAAGTTATTGCAAAGAATCAATAAATCCATATACACACTAAGCATTGTCCTTTTGATTTCCATTTAGCTTCAATAAAATATATAGTAAGTCAGTAAAACAGATGAGCAAACATAGTTTTTTGTAAGCTTAATAAATGTCTTGCATATGTATGTAATTTTCATATCATTGATGTTAATTAAAATACAAATTGATATAAAGGTACTACTGAATTCAGAAGAGTTTTTGTCATTATATATTTTCTCAACCAATGGTATAACTACTGTCATGTAGTGGTCTATGAAATGTTTTTACATTAGCAGAGCATCATAATCAAAAAGTTTGGGAACCAGTGATTTAGTTCAGTCTCCTCATTTTACACTTAAGGAAAGTGAGTCCCAGAAATAGTAAGTCTTATGGCCAAGATTACATAGCTAATAAGTAGAAAATTCATGATTTGAACTGAGGTCTTCTGATTCCGAAACCACTGTCTTTTTACTTTACCATGATGCCTATAAAAGTTAGGAGATCTTAGATACTTAAATAAGGATATTTCTATGCCTAATGACAGTTGGTAGGCTCTAGAACCTGCTAGTTGACAAATTCAGAGAGCATGATATTAATATTTTATTCCTATTTATGCTCAAGTAAACTAGAGATATGTTATATCCTGTTTTCCATATTTTGCAGATGGATAAACTGAGGCACAGGGAAATTAAGTGACTGCCCCACGGTTACACAGCTGGAAAGGACTAGGATTAGACCTCAGAGCTCCTGACCCTCAGACTTGTGTCTTTCCCATTGAGCCATCACGCTGCCTCCCTACTTAAGAGAAAATACTTTCTGTAAGGTAAATGATAGTCTCTTCTTTTCCTTTTGACATATGGGATGTGCTTGAGAAAAACACCTTTATACATATATATGTGTGTGTGTGTGTTTATATATATATATATATATATACACACACACATATATATGTATACATACACACATATATGTATACATATACATAGTAAAGCAATATTATTGATGAGTGCATACTTGGTTCTAAGCAACAGAACTAGGAGTTTTTAAACTTTTTTCTATTGATTTCCATAAAAGGGCTAGTTTGGATGATTTTAAAAATATTTGTAACTTATCATTTAATCCAGTGAACGTTCAGTTTTTCTATAACAGACTTGAAAAACTTACCTCACTAAATCCATAATCCTCTGATTCCATGAAAAGCTCCACCCACCTTCTTGTATAACTTGTAGCCTATGAGTTGGAAGAGGAGCTTTGTCACCTCAGGGAAAAAAAAAGGTACCATTGCTGATGACAGCATGTGGTATGATGACAAAAGATCCAGAGGACGTGGGTTCTAATCCCTGTTATGCTGCTTATCCTTTGGGCTATTTATTTAACATTTCTGAGCCTCAGAGATTGTGACTATCTAAACTGTTATAGTTACAATATATGTATTACAAAAACAAAGAAGACAAAAAAATAAGGAAACATTTAACTATGAAAAATCAACATGTGTACTTGTGTGGGTGAGTGGACAGAGTTATGCAAATGTGTACATGTGAAGTAACACATAGTATTTTGGAGTCAATGTAAAGAAAGTTAGGAATCATCTAATCCAATATCATTTTACGGAGGATAAAACTGAGGCAGAGAGAGAAGTAATTTGTCCATGGTTTCATTGCTAGTAAGTGACAGAGCCAGGACAAGAATCCAGTTCCCCTGACTCCCCACCACATGATCTATGAACTATGCTATGCTGAGAATAAATCACCTTTACACAAATTCAACCATCTTCAAGAAAGACATGGATGAGGCATAGAGGGACAGGGGGAACACAAATGGTACAAAGCAGAGTGGTACTAAAGCAGCAGGACAAAATTCTAAATAGAACATCTATTTGCTGCAATGTCTTTTCCCTTCACCAACATATAGGGAAATGTTCCTACCTTGGTCAAGGGTAAAATCTTTTAATTTTGTCTTCCCATCCCCTGCCTCCTCTTTCCATGACCTACTCCCAGCCCCAACTGTCACCCCCATCCCTCAGCTCAAAAAGCATCTCTGCCATGAGATCCATGCTCCCACAATTATTAGCTCCTCCCCATCACCATCAGTTCCTCTGTATTTATTTTGTATATGTGCACATACTGTCTCTCCCTATAGAATGTAATCTCCCTAAAGGCAGGAACTGTTTCACATATGTCTTAGTATAAAAGCACACTGTTAGGCACATGGGACTTAATAAATTCTTGTTTCTTAATTGATTAAAATGAAAAATAATCTGACATCAGCTATTTACCCTTTATGGATGACTGACTTATTAAACTTGGTCTTGAACTCATTCACATAGACATTGTATCTCAACTATCGTTAACATTTTTATTTTTTTTAATCTAATTGTCGAAAGAAGGGCATTTCCTATATAAGAGAATGGTGGGGAAATTTAGAGAGCTGGAGGAGCCCATGCAATCATGCAAGGTATACTCAGAAGCTAGAGGTATAGAAACCACTGTCTTCCTGCTCCCTTATAGAAGATATGTTAGAATAGGCCAGTTTTATCTGCTACAGGCCTAAAATAGCTGCAGAGAATAGCGAATGGCCTCGAAGGAGCTGGATAGCTAAGGACCAGTAAATAGTAGAGCCCCGCAAAAACTGCAATCAGAAACCAGCAGTCGAATCCAGGGAAAAGCAAAAATATACACCCCCAGGCCTTTTTCCCCATAGGAGGAGGAGGAACCTGTGACCTTCTGTCACTGCCTTCAAGTTCCTGCTGCCAGCTTGTGCCTAGCATCCATCTGCCAGCAGTCACCTTCCCCCGTCCCCAAAGTCCTCTTTCCTGACTAATCACATTTCCAAACTAATAAATCAAGCCATAGAATCACAGAACTTTCAGGGCTGGAAAGGATATTAAGGACCATCTAATCCAAATTCCTCCAAATTTGAGGTAACTGAAGCCAAGAGAGGAAGAAGTCTCGTCCAAGGGAGTAACAAGTCATAGTCAAAAGACCACTAAATTTGGAGTTAGATGATCTGGTTTTGAATAATAGCCCTGGTACTTACTGTCTGTAACCCTTTGGGCAAGTCACTTCCTTCCTTCTCAAGGGCTTCATTTCCTCTTCTGTTAAGTGAGAGAGTTAGATGAAATGATCTGTAACAATCCCTTTCAGTCCTAAAATCTAAGTTTGAATGTCTAGCAAATAGAGAAGGCAGGACCAGAATTCAGGTCTTCTGACTCTAAATCTAGAGTTCTTCCCAAGCCCTGCCCTCCCCTTCTTCTGTCTTTCAATGAATAGTTGTTTCCTGGCACATCTGACTTGGATTTTTAGCTAGTATTGAATTGTCTTTTTGTGCCACAACTCAGATTTACCTGATATCCAGGAATGCATTCCTCAGCTTCCTATATCAATTCTTCCTCTGAGAGCAACCTTGTCTCTCTAGGCCTCGTTTTGCTGCTCTGTAAAAGTAGAGGTTTGGGCTCCTGGAGGTAAGAGGCAGCCACTGGAGTTTATTGAGTCGGGAGTGGACATGATCAGAATTGTGTTTTAGGAAAATCGCTGTAGTGGCTGAATTGAAAATGGATTGGAAAGACTTGAAGCAGGCAGACTCACCAGAAGGCTAATGTAGAAATCAAGGTATAAGGTGATAAGGGCCTGCACTAGAGTGGTAGCAGAGTCAGAGGAGAGAAGGGAGCATACTTGAGAGATATTGTCAAGGTAAAACCAATAGGCCTTGGCAATAGCTCAGAAATTGGGGCAGCTAGATGGCACAGTGGATAGAGCACCGGCCCTGAAGTCAGGAGGACCTGAGTTCAAATCCAGCCTCAGACCAAACACTTGGCACTTACTAGCTGTGTGACCCTGGGCAAGTCACTTAACCCCAATTGCCTTAAAAAAAAAAAAAAAGCAATAGCTCGGATATGGCAAGCGAGAGATAGTGGAGAGTCCAGGATGACTCACCCCAGGTTGCAAGGCTGATGGACCAGGAGGATAGTGTCATCCTCTATAGTAACAGGGAAAGCAGGAGAAGGGAAGGATTCAGTAGAAAAGATAATGAGTTCTGTTTTAGACATATTGAGTTTAAGATGTCTACTGGACATCCAGTTTGAGATATCTGAAAGGCAGTTGAAGATGTGAGAATGCAGGTCAGCAGAGAGATTGGGACAGCAAGGGTAGATTTGAGAATCATCAGCATAGAGACGGGAGCTGATAAGATCACCAAGTGAAATAGAGAAAAGGATCTAGTACAAAACCCTAAGGGATACTTAGAATTAGAGAGCTTGATCTGGAAGAAGATCCAGTAAACGAGACAGAGAAGGAGTGGTCAGATAGGTCAGGAGTGTTCATTGAATAGAGAGTTCCATTCCTGCGCCCTCAAAGGACAAGTGCAGCCAGAGATGGAAGGCCTGAAGTCAAAGGGAAGGTTGATCTGCATTATCCTGAAGGTTCTCCACCTCCCAGTCAGGAGATTGGGCTGTCAGAAGGAGGCAGCAGATACCTTGTGCTGGTACAGATGGAAATGGTTGCTTTGGGGCAGATGGAAAATGCCTGACCTGACCCCACAAAACCTCAGGAAACACACTGTGCTGCTGTACAGGAGATAGGAGGCTCAGGGTCCTAGCGTACCTGGGGTCTGATGTCTTTTCATCTGAGGAGGCTGGCTACAAGGCAGCATCATGAAGTAGAAGACTCCATACCAAGTGGTAGAAGGAATTTTCTACCAAGTGGCCCAGGGAGGCTAAGTGACTTTTCTAGGATCCCACAAGTAGTAAGTATCAAAGATGGGAGTGGAACCGAGCTTTTCTTCCAAAGATTCCAAAGTCAGGGCCTCTTCCATTGTACCCTGCTATTAGTTAAAAATCAATATTCCTTCTCTTCATTGGAGAGGTTTTGTGATGTAGTAAAAAGACCCCTGTCCTAAAAGGCAGGAGAGAATGGGTTTCAAATCCTAACTCTAAAATCCTGATGCAGGGAAGCTGATTTCAGTTGTCTCATCTATAAAATGGGGATGATTTTGCTTATAGTAGTCCTATAAGTATTTCATAGGATTGTTGTGAGGTTGAAATGAAATAATGCATGCAACATGCATTCAAAACTTTAAAGTACTATATGAATTCAATTTTTTTTATCTTCTACTTTAGCTAATGTTTTTTGTTTTTTGATTCCATACTAATCTAGATTTGACAGTCTAATGAATTTGGCTAATGAATTTAGTCATCTTTTGAACACATTAGATCAGTTGCCTTCATAAATATTCTTGTGAGTAACAAGTAGTATGTTTTATTATACTTATTTTACAGATATAAAATTAGAGGGTAGTAATATATACAGCACCAATATAACAGCAGTACCAAATGAATCAAAATGGTTTGGTGATTCCACATCCAGCCACTAATCAAGCTAACTTTGATACAAACAAAATCTCACAGTAATCAGTCTCAGAGGCTATTTTAGTTATTTTGAGACTTTGGGTTATGTTACTACATAGATTTTAACCAAGAATTAAAACTTTTAAAGTGTTAATTGAGCCACTTTGGGGCCAGAAAGCTACAGAGAGGATGATTTCAACACAATTCAATCCTATTGATTTTGTTGTTCAGTTGTTTCCATCATGACTGAATCTCCGTGACTCCATTTTGGGGTTTTCTTGGCAAAGAGCAAAGATACTGAAGCAGTTTGCTATTTCCTTCTCCAGCCAATTTAACAGTTGAGGAACTGAGGCAAACAGGATTAGGTGACTTGCTCTGGGTCACATTGCTAGTAAATGTCTGAGACTGGGTTTGAACTCAGGCCCTCCGGCCTCCAGGGCAGCTCCTCTACCCACTGAACCACCTAGCTAACACTCCTATTA